CTTGGAACCCTACATCAAGCATTCGACAAATGAAACCCACAACCCCCAAAATCCAACCCCATGAACCCGAACCTAGCATTCGATCAACCAAAACCCAGAACCCCCATATTCGAATCGCACAAAAAATCCACGGAACCCTCACTTTGTATCCACACACAAAATCAACAAATAAGGAAGGAGAAGAAGCCTACCACAGTCTTCTAGTTGTTCCTTCATCAACGACCGTCGCACCGGCGGAAAAACCAACCCTGGACGATTTGTCGCCATCAAAGCCTTCGTCGTCGTCATCTGCACCTGCCACGTATGCACCGCCTCGTCTCTATTGTCGCGCTACCCAAAAGAGTCATCATCGCGCTGCCCAAACGAGCCTTCATTGTCATCAAACGAGCCGTCGTCGTCGATTTTTGTAGTGAGAGAGGAAGTTTTTCGGGAGAGGAAGGGGAGAGGAAAAACCGTCGACTTTTGGAGTGAAAGAGGAAGTGACCCGGCGAAGAAAGATGATAGAGAAGTGATTTGGCTCATAAAATTTTTTGGGGATTTTTTAATTTGTGGACCTGGAGGGCCCCACTTTTATGTCTGAAAATCCCTGGGCTTGGGCCAGCCGATCGACGACGTGGCCAAGCATTCAGCCCTGTCAGTATCTCCTAACAGACCCCCTGTTAGCACTAGGGGTGTACATGGGTCGGGTGGTCCGGGTTTAGGCATTTTAATCACCCGACCCATGCACTACGGTTTGGGAAATATTAAACCCAAACCCACCCAAAAAAATCTAAACCCTACGGTTTGTTTCTAATTGGGTTGGGTCGGGTTGGCGATATTTTTAAGTGAAAACCCAACCCAACACAAAATATGTAATTATGCTACATCATAAAAATATTTTATAACAAATTAAAAATTCAAACGAATAAACCGAGGTGAAAGGTATCACAATTCACAAATATTGTTTGAATTTTAATAAAACTTGATTTACTTCAACTTATGTCTAGTTTTTTTCACGACATTTGTTGAAATAGGTTAAAAAGGTTACAAATGAACACATCCATAATATGAAATTCTTTTAAAATTGTACACAAAAAAAAATACGTGAATCATGGCTATATTAAATATATGTCTAAACTTTAAGTCGAAGAATGCATTAGATTAGTGAGACTTTAAGAGAAAAATATGGTGAAATATCTTAATTTTCTCATAAGTATGACTATATACGACATAAATATTTTTTTGGGTACAAACTCGTACCAATAATTGGAACACGGGTTGGGTCGGGTTCTACGGGTTGTGTAATCCAAAATCCAAACTCAACCCAAAAGAGGCGGGTTGTACAAAAGAAAACCCTCACCCAACCCAAAACCTTCAATTTAGCGATAAATACGGGTGAATTAAGTCGGATTAGACGGGTGGGTCGGTTTGCGGGTGTGTTTGTTCACCCCTAGTTAGCACCATAACAAAATTGCCTTTCCTCCTAGAGAATTCGCTGGTCATGAATTATAATTTGACTGCACAAACCGAGAATAGGAGACAAAGAGCAAAAGCAAGAACATGTTTGCTTTGCCTGAAATTTTCGTCCTAGTACTCTCTCATATTCCCTCTTCGTCTCCCTCGACGATCCAATGAAAGAGGGAAACCATGGGGTTCGATCCTAGAAAGGAGAAGCAGATTAGGGTGACCGTGAAAGAGAAGCCTTCGACTGCAGTGGCGACTAGAGATTCTGGCTAGGCCTACGTAGATGAACGGGAAGCTTTATTGGAGCTATATTCTTGCCGCACCCGAGATTTGACCCTCTAATTCATTCGAGCTCAGATCTAGAGACTCCAAATTGGGCATTTCGAAGAAGGAATCGAATAACCCACTAACGAAATTATTGAAAGACAAATCAATTTTCTTCAAACTGAATCGAGTATAACAAGGCCTTGACAAGCTGAATCGATGAGCAGCGAAGGAATCCTGACATGGATAGGTGCGCCTTCCGTTGACTCTTCGATCGGAGACTTACGAAAACGAAAACAAAAGAAATAAAGACATGGAGGGATCATCGACACAACAAGCGTCAATTGAGAAGGAATGGATGGACTGGAGAAGAAACCATCTTCCAAAATAAACCCAATTCATTTCACCATCTCGTTACAAGCTCAACTACTTCCCCCAAATTACATCGCTGATACCCATAGTGAGAGAGAAGAAAAAGAATCGTGAGAAGGCGGAGGAAGGATGAAGGTCGAGGAAGTTGACTGGCTCGGTTATGATTCTTCCAGCGGCTCCAATAGTAGATCGAGCGAGTGGGCGATTTCAGTTCCCGGATCTGCAATTGAGACTCGAGAAAGAAAGGAGATTTGCCTCCATCGCCGCTTTTCAATCGGCTAGAATTAGGGGAATTTACTTTATTGATTTTAATTTTTTTGGGTTAGATGATAAATAATAGATATTAGGAAAAATATGTGAATTTAAAGGGATGGGTTTAGTTGCTAGCCCCTTAAGGGGAAGGGGTTAGCATCATACTAATTACTCTAACAGCCTTTAGATCAAAATATTAATCCTAAGGTTAGAATTAATCAAAGGATAATTAAGTCAATATGCATCAAACCCTAATATACATACTACTATTTTACCCTAAGTGCCTCTCTCATGAACTCACGTCTCCCTGTCTCCCCTCCATCTCCATCTCCAGCCAAATTAACATCGCCGCCAGGATTCCGCCAAGAACCGTTGAAGTCCTCGTCGTCCAATCCGGCCGGACTCAACATCTTCGTCTCTCCGAGTAGTCATGGTCGAGCGATTTCCAGATCCAAGTCTCGCCTGTGCGAAAGCAGGAGGGGGAAGCGGTGGAGCCGGGAGTATCGATGTCAATTCTGCCGCTACGAGAAGCCCATTCTCGTCCCTCTACCTCGCCGCCGTCGCGCTCCATCGATGTCGATTTCGCAACGAGTCTGCGGCTCCGTAGCGACGCCGATGCCGCCAACGTCTCTCAACTGGCTTGATTTTACGTTGTTAATCTAATAGTTGATTATGCCGCAACGACGCCGATGCCGCTAGAATTATATGTAGTAGTAATATTTAGATCTGGAGGAATTTTACAGATTTGTGGTGATTATTCTCTACGGGTTTGATTTTATGTTTCTAATAGGGTTTAGTTTTAGATTAGTAGTAATTTGTATGTAGTAGTAATTTATTTGTAGGGATTATGATTAAATGTGTAGTGATTTTGATCAAGGTTTTCATAGTTATGGTAGTATATTTTTTTCATTCGTAGTATTTTTATATTTTTGTGAAAGTGATTCTCATTAAAAATTATCAACCACTACAAATTAAAAATTGTTAAAACACTACTATTTATTTGAAAACCACTACGACCCTCCAAAACACACTACAATGAGCCTCCATAATAATTCTAAAATCACTATTATCGGTAAAATGACTACTAATCTAAGTAGTAGTAAATTTATTAGTAATTTTTTCGGAATAAAATGCTAATAAATAGATGAGAGAGAAAATGGTATTTTAGTTTTTAATTAATTTATTATTTTAATTTTATGAAATTCCAAACAAACCCTTCGTTATTATTCATCGTCAGATTCAACTTAAATGAATGGATGATGATTAGAGTAGTTAGTACAATGCTAACTCCTATGAAGTTAGCACTCTAACCTCTCCCGAATTTGAATATTTTTTTTAATATTTTGTAAAACGACTAGGCAGTGACTTGGCGGGTTAATTAAATGCCACATCACAAAAAAATTCAGCTCAGCAATCAAGTTGTCATGTCAGAATCAATTACCAGTCAATCGATGGAAAGTTAATGGTTATGGTTTGGCTATTATTTTATTTTTTCGAAAGGTTTGTCTATTATTTTGTTTAAAATCAAAGGTTTGACTAACATAGTGTATTTATCCTAAAAAGAAACTATATAACAGTAGTCATAGATCTGTGTGGAATAATTTTAACGGCCGATTAAACTATCATATTAATTTTAACTTCTTATGACTAGGAACCTCTTTGACATGATTACTTGAACTTCAGTGATGTTATCGTTAGATAAATCTAAAGGTTGTTCGCCCAATACAGTCTAGCCACTTACACTATGTTCATGAAGAAAGGGAGGAAAAGGAGGGGAGGGTAGGAAAATTTGGAGGGGAGGTTAAGTTTGGAAGGGAGGGAAATTAGAGGGAATTGGAAAGAAAATGTTGTTTAATGGAGGAAAGTTGAAGGGAAAGTGGGAGGGAAAAAGTAGATTGGGAATTGTGATATGTATTATATTTTATTGATGATAGAATAATTAAATAATTTAATTATGTGTTTATACTATTGATATCGTATATGAGTTAATTTGGAGCGACTCACGAGTTGACCTTCATTACAACTCATAATAATATTTGTCTTCATCCATAATTATCCCCTCAAATTTTTCCCTACCTCTCTTAAAAATATATTCTTAGTTAATTAATAACTAAGAGGACGTAAACCATTACTCTTCCATTTTGTAATTATGTTAACAAATAATAATAGTTTATTAGTTAATCATCTATAATAGGTGATCATAAAATAAAATTTAATTAATTTCTTTATAGCAAGTGGTAGTGGAGAACTTTCTCTCCAAATTGGAGGGTTGGGTTCTACAGAAAATTTTCTCTCCTGTTTTCCCTTCCTTTGCACTTTTCCTTCCTTAAAAAACAGAGGAAAGTTTATGGAAAACTGTGTTTTCCATCCCACTTTTCCCTCCCCTCCCCTTTCCTCCCTTTTCTCTCCTTCTTGAACACAGTGTTAGTGTTGAGAGATGGACTATGCGAAAGAATGACACGAGGACCTAATCACCCTGCAAAGAAGGTTGAGACACTCTCGCACGAGATGCTACTAGAAGAACCCCACAGCCATCCGAGGGCTAACCCAGCCACCAAGGACTCTGCACTGCACACAATGATAGCGTTATCCTTTCAGAGATTAATGGATTAAACCTCGTCTTCCTTGGGTTTTGAGAACAAGAAACCCTTTGCCAATATTCGGGGGAATATGTGAAATTTCCTTCATTTTGGTAATTTGGTTATTGAAAGCGGAAGTACTTTGCTTTTTCAGTCAGTCAATCAGAACTTAATTAAAAGAACAAAACAAATCAAAAAGAGGTACAGAAGTACAGAACCAAAGCTACACTTCTCTTAAACCATTGCACTCAACGTCACCGGTCCGATCTTCAATATAGTTTCACAAACACTGAGAAAACGGCAAAACTGATAACGAAGCAAAACAGATACTTCGACACATATACATACAGATGCATAGAAACTTCAACAAGCCGATCCTGGAAACTGATGGGAACGTAGTCCACGTTCCTCGGGTTGTTTTCCTGCTAGGCGCAGAAAGAAGCCTTTAGGGTTTGTTTGGGGTAAAAATTGATACCTTCTCTATTCCAACAAGCATATAAATAATGTTTGCGTACAAATTAATCCCGACTAATAATCAACATTTTCTAACAATAATTAACTAATAATAATCGTCATAACGACGACTGGGCTTGGGCTGTCGCGCGGACGTCCTCCTCTGCATGGGCTGGGGTTCGGGGATGGACGTGGCTCCATCAGTGCTCCCCTCCGGAAGGGCGGCCTTGTCCTCAAGGTCGAAACTGGGGAAACGCTCCTCAAGACTCGTCCGACTTTCCCAGGTGGCATCCTCCCGCGGCAGTGCGTCCCAGCGGACCAAACATTCTTCAACAATCGTGCCACCTTGCCGCACCCAGCGATGATCAATTACCTCGGCCGGTCTGACTTGCAATTCTCCATCATCATTAACCGGCAATGGCGTGGGCCCTGCCCGAGGAGGCGATCCCCTGTAAGGTTTAAGAAGAGAGACATGGAAGACGGGATGAATACGTACCCCATCCGGGAGTGTTAATCGGTAGGCCACTGCCCCCACGCGTGCTTCCACGGGATATGGGCCAAAATAACGAGCCGCTAACTTCTGAGAAGCACGACGAAACACAGAGTGCTGGCGGTACGGCTGTAGACGCAAAAGAACGAGATCGCCCACCTCAAACTGAAGATCCCGCCTTTTCAAGTCCGCCAACTGTTTGTTATAGGCATTAGCCGCCTCCAACGTCGTCTTAAGCTGCTGGAGAATCTCATCCCTCGTGCACAAGAGCTGATCGACCGCCCCTACTCCACTGCCGCCAGCTTCATAAGGAATAATGCTAGGAGGGTCACGGCCATACAGGGCCTTGAATGGGGACATGCCGATCGATCGATGGAAGGATGTATTATACCAAAGCTCGGCCCACGGCAAGAACATGTGCCAGCATCGAGGCTGCGAATGAGCAAAACAACGTAAATACTGTTCCAGGCACCAATTTACCACTTCCGTTTGGCCATCCGACTGGGGATGATAGGCCGTGCTCATATTAATGGGAAAAAATCCCAAAGTACACTAGTTTTTAAAAAAATTTCCCAAAATACATAAGTTATAAAAAAAATTCCAAAAGTACACATGTTTGAGCATCACCGTTTTAGACAAAAACGGTGAAGGTCATCACCGCTTTTGACCAAGACGGTGAATACTTCACCGTTTCAAACTAAAACGGTGAAGGGTTCACCGCGTTTGTTAAGAACGGTGAATACTTCACCGTTTTAAACAAAAACGGTGAAGCCTTCATTTGAATACCAAGTATTTTGATAACTCTAAATGGTTCTCCTCGTCGATACGATCGCGCTGCCGAAAACGGCTCGTCATTTCGACCTCAAACGAATAAGATACGCGCGTTTTAGTTTTTAGTACGCAAAAGTTACTTTAACGACATGTGCAGCTTTGAACTCACTTATCTCACTCGTTTGGACTCGGAATTGAGATCTGTAAAATTCTATGTGATCGTGGTTGATTTTACCAACCTTTTTGTGTTGAGGGAAGATAATGATTCTTGATAAAATGATCCAGAATATTCATTCGACAACTTAAGTGCGTAGGATAGTTTTTAGACAATGCAAACTCAAATAACAACACCTAAAAATCACAAAAACAACATTGATAGTTCACTACAATGATAAAATGATAAATTCACTCATTTGCTTCATTTTGGCTCCTATCTCCACCTCTTCCTCCTCGTCCTCCACGACGTCCTCGACCCCTTCTTCCCCCCTCCGCCACTGCTTCTTGGCGGGCTCGCTCAACGGCTGATCGCGGATTTCTCTTGACCCGAGCCCCAACTGGGGTTACATATGGTGGTGGTGGTGGCTGAGTTGGACCGGTAGCTTGACGAATGATCGGGGGGTTCGGAGTTTGTTGTTGCGGATGTTGGAATTAAGAGAACCCATGATGTTGTTACATATGGTTCTCTCAATTCCAACATCCGCAACAACAAACTCGTGGAGGACGAGGAGGAAGAGGTGGAGATGGGGGCCAAAATGAAGCAAATGAGTGAATTTATCGTTTTATCATTGTAGTGAACTATCAATGTTGTTTTTGTGATTTTTAGGTGTTGTTATTTGAGTTTGCATGGTCTAAAAACTATCCTACGCACTTAAGTTGTCGAATGAATATTCTGGATCATTTTATCAAGAATCATTATCTTCCCTCAACACAAAAAAGTTGGGAAAATCAACCACGATCACATAGAATTTTACAGATCTCAATTCCAAGTCCAAACGAGTGAGATAAGTGAGTTCAAAGCTGCACATGTCGTTAAAGTAACTTTTGCGTACTAAAAACTAAAACGCGCGTATCTTATTCGTTTGAGGTCGAAATAACGAGCCGTTTTCGGCAGCGCGATCGTATCGACGAGGAGAACCATTTAGAGTTATCAAAATACTTGGAATTCAAATGAAGACTTCACCGTTTTTGTTTAAAACGGTGAAGTATTCACCGTTCTTAACAAACGCGGTGAACCCTTCACCGTTTTAGTTTGAAACGGTGAAGTATTCACCGTCTTGGTCAAAAGCGGTGATGACCTTCACCGTTTTTGTCTAAAACGGTGATGCTCAAACATGTGTACTTTTGGAATTTTTTTTATAACTTATGTATTTTGGGAATTTTTTTTAAAAACTAGTGTACTTTGGGATTTTTTCCCATATTAATGCGAGTGCCAGTTCGAGCAAAAAATTCCTTCCAAAATGTACTAAGGAATATGGCATCACGATCAGATACAATCGAAGAAGGCATACCATGATGACGAACTACGCCGTTAATGAACTCCTCCACCACTCGCCGGGCCGAAAATGGGTGACTTAGGGACATAAAATGACCGTACTTGGTCAACCGGTCCACCACCACGAACAAAACGGAGTGACCCCCTGAAACCGGCAAACCCTCAACAAAATCCATGGAAATATCTTCCCAAACCTGACATGGGATGGGAAACGGCTGTAATAGTCCCGCTGGCGACAACGAATCCGTCTTCACACGTTGGCATGTATCACAGCTGGCTATGTAATCCTGAACCGCCTGTCGCATCCGCGGCCAATAGAAATGACCAGACAGCCGAGCCATGGTACGACGTACGCCCGAGTGGCCACCCATTGGGCCATCATGAAACTCCTGTAGTACCGTAGTCACGAGACTGGATAGCGGGGGAAGAACCACCCGGCCGCGGTAGAAAATCAGCCCGGCACGAAAAGTAAAGTGGCCCGGATCCGGAGATAGAGCTTTTTCCTTCATCGCTTGCAGGTATGGATTCACCAGCACCGCAGCCCGAAGCTCCTCCCACAACGACGATACTGGCCGAGTAATGGCGCCGAGCTGCGCGCCTGAGGATACGCGAGACAGGGCATCGGCTGCTCGATTACTGGTACCCGGCCTGTAGTGGATTTCGTAGTCAAATCCCAGCAATTTACTCACCCACTTATGTTGATCTGGGGTTGCTATCCGCTGTTCCAATAGATATTTCAAGCTCTTTTGATCCGTATATATATGAAATTTCTGACCCAACAAGTACGGCCGCCAGGTTTGAACCGCAGTGATGATGGCATGCATTTCTTTTTGATACGTGGACCATGCTTCTTTTGCCGGCCCCAAAGTCTTACTCATAAAGGCAATTGGGCGCCCCTCCTGTGACAACACGGCCCCAATCCCCTTGCCCGAAGCATCAGCTTCTATAACAAATGGTATGGCAAAATTAGGCATGGCGAGTGCCGGGGTTGACACCATTGCCTGCTTCAGATCGGAGAAGGCCTGACTGGCTGTCGCATTCCACTGGAATCCTCCCTTCTTCAACAATTCAGTCAATGGCTTCGCGATGCGGCCATAATCTCGGACAAATTTCCGATAATACCCGGTTAAGCCGAGGAAACCCCGTAGCTCAGTGACATTCTTCGGCTGTGGCCAAGCGACCATTGCTTCAATTTTGCTGGGGTCGACGCGGACACCACGGTTCGATATGAAATGACCCAAGTACTCCAGCTCGCCGAGACCAAATGCACATTTCGAGAACTTCACATAATACTGGTTACGGGCCAGGATAGATAGGGTCTCGCGCACGTGCTGTAAGTGGTCCTGCCAGTTCGCACTGTAAATTAGAATATCATCAAAAAAAACTAGCACGTACCGGCGCAATACACTGCGAAATAGATCGTTCATAGCTGCTTGAAAAGTTGAAGGGGCGTTGCATAGGCCGAATGACATAACGAGATATTCATAATGTCCGTTATGTGTTCGAAATGCCGTCTTATGAGCATCCTCTTCGTGCATCCGGATCTGATGGTAGCCTGCTCGTAGGTCAAGCCGTGTAAAAAATTTCGCGCCGTGAAGCTCATCTAGCATGTCCTCCACTGTAGGAATGGGATAGCGATCCTTGATAGTCACCTCGTTGAGAGCCCTGTAATCGGTGCAAAAACGCCACGTCCCATCTTTTTTCTTGACCAACAGCACCGGGGATGAGAACGGGCTGAGGCTTGGACGGATTAGCCCTGCGGCCAACATTTCCTCAACCTGCTTCTCGATCTCTGCCTTTTGATGATATGCGTAGCGATACGGCCTGACATTGACCGCATTCGCCCCATCTTTCAGTTTGATGCGATGGTCAACGTCCCGACTAGGCGGCAACTCGGAGGGTGTCTCGAACACCGCCTCAAACTCGCGCACCAGCTCGCGCAGCTCCGGTGGAAGGGGGTCGATATCCGCGGTCTGAAGTGGCCAGCAAAGCGCCCATACAACCCCGTCCTCGTGGGCAATCTCGGCCGCCGAGGCCGCTGTGCGGCGTGGCTGGATGCCTTGGAGTGCCAACTCCTTGTCGCGCCACTTAAACTTTAAAGTTAGGGCTCGCCAATCACACGTCACTGGCCCGAGGTCGGCCAGCCATTGAACGCCGAAGACCATGTCCATTCCGCGGATCGGCAGAATGTACAAGGAGACGATGAACTCCTCTCCTTGAATCGTGACCTTCACGTCATCACACCTGCCCCGGCAGCGCATCGGCTCACCGTTAGCTATCCGCACCGAGAAGGGTGTTATAGGTGCGATGCCCAACTTCATCTCCTCAGCCTTGTGCTCCGAAATAAAATTATGGGTCGAGCCGCTGTCAACCAAAAGAATCGCCTGCACATCTGCTACCTGCGCGCGAAATCGGAGGGTCCGGGGGCCATCGATTCCCGCCGCCGCATGGAGGGAGAGCTCCATCTGCTCGCCGGCCGAAGTATCGTCGTTGGCGGCAACGTCGGCCACGTTGTCGTCGCTCCGCGAGCCGCCCTCGGTGGTCTCGCGTTCCGGCTCGTTCAGCCAGCCGTCCAACTGTTGTTTGAGGGCCCGGAGTTCCATTGACATGTCGAGACATGCCGCCTGCGTGCGCCGCACCGCCGCTGTATAAGCCTTGGCGCAAGCTCCCACGTCCACGGTCATGGCTCTGATACCAATTGATGGGAACGTAGTCCACGTTCCTCGGGTTGTTTTCCTGCTAGGCGCAGAAAGAAGCCTTTAGGGTTTGTTTGGGGTAAAAATTGATACCTTCTCTATTCCAACAAGCATATAAATAATGTTTGCGTACAAAGTAATCCCGACTAATAATCAACATGTTCTAACAATAATTAACTAATAATAATCGTCATAACGACGACTGGGCTTGGGCTGTCGCGCGGACGTCCTCCTCTGCATGGGCTGGGGTTCGGGGATGGACGTGGCTCCATCAGAAACCTGATATTAGCTGGAAGCTAACTAGGCATCACCACCATCCTTATATGGTTACACCATTGCTTCCGCCTGTGATGCTTTTCCCAGATCTCAACCTCTTCTTCCTCAACCTCTCTGCTATGGCGAATGCCAGCTCTAGCGACTGCGATGCGTTGAGCCTGGGGTCACAGTGAGTATGATAACGCGAGTTCAGATCATCGAATGTGATGGTCTTCGACCCTCCAACGCACTCCGTCACGTTCTGCCCTGTCATCTCCAGGTGGACTCCCCCTGGGTAGCTGCCTTCCTGGTCATGTACGTCGAAGAACGCCCTCAACTCGGCCTACAAAAGAAAAGAAAGGAAGCAGGTCTTATCGGGCACAGGGATTTGGATTAGCTTACAACTATTTGACATAATAAGAGTTGATTATTTGACAAGTTTGTCAACAATCAAAGTTTAGTGACCACAATGTTCAGAGTCTGTTGCTCGACTCATATACTATCGAATGAGAAAAGGCTTTGTTATAGATGGTGAAGGGATTCTCAGAGTTATTCATTACCCTGATAGCATCGAAAGCTCGAGTCTTTAGCCCACAGGGTGCCTTTATTGTGTTTCCATGCATGGGATCACTGACCCATGTGACGATCAAGCCAGCATTCCTGACGGCTCTGATTAGATGGGGCAGTTTGATTCGCATGTTGTCTGCTCCCATTCTGGTGATAATCGTCAGCCGTCCAGGTTTATTGTGAGGATTAAGAATTTCACACAGTTTCACAAGCTCCTTTGGATCCATCTTATCGCTAACCTGGGCAGCAAAGTAAACACAGAAATGCAAAAACAGTTACTCGAGATATTTCTCTGGTCAACAATGTCACCGAACTTGCCTATCGGTATTGCATTGAGCACTGGACTGGGTACTGAGAAATTGAAACCACCAAACCTGGCTTAATAACGTGCACTTATCATTTGCATTTCCCCTAGTAACATATGGGGACACAGAAACGCTAATAGTGAACAACAGAGACTAAATCAGCCAGCTTGGTGCACTCCAATGTTGACCCACATCCCAAAACATTAAGGCACCATTGCAGATCATATAATCTATGATTATGATTTTAAGTGGATGGTCTGTGTCATTTATAGAAATCAATTGTCGTCTGTTTCTTTACGATAGAGATACACTCTCTTCTAAAAGGGTTGGTAACACTGCAAAGCTAATATCACAATGCAAGAATGTCACACCATGTAGCTATAATTTATGATCGTTAACGATTCCAGAGATGATGGAATCACTACGTACCTTAATGCCAAGAGGATTTGAGACACCCCGGAGAAATTCGACATGAGCTCCACCCAACTGCCTAGTCCTCTCCCCTACCCAGAGCATGTGAGCAGAGCAGTCATAGAAGAGACCCGTCGTCGAGTCTTCCCTTGTCATGGCCTGCTCGTACGGCAGATGAAGGCATTCATGCGATGTCCAAAACTCGGTTGTGTTCATGATTGGGTGATCAATGGTAAGGCCAGCTGCAGTCATGAACCCAATCGCATCATCCACCCTACTCGCTAGTTCCATGTACCTGCCATTAACAGAAGGGGGGGAAACATTATTTCCAGCCATTTGTATCAACATCTGGAACCTTCAAAATTGCAACAGGTATAAAAGGATTAACCGAAGCTATTATACCTGTCTCCTTGTTCACTGTGCTGCACAAAGTCGAGATTCCATTGTGAAACTCTCTGCATAGCAGCATATCCACCGGTGGCAAAAGCTCTGAGCAGATTCAAAGTGCCAACGGACTGAAGGTAAGCTCTGATAAGCCTTTGTGGATCAGGAACTCTAGATTTTTCATCAAAGGCATCGCCATTGATGTTATCTCCTCTGTAACTCGGCAGCTTCACCCCATCCTTGGTCTCAAATGAATCCGACCTAGGTTTAGCAAACTGCCCAGCCATTCTCCCAACCTAACAGGAATTGGAAACAAAATTTATTAAAACTGAAGCGAAACTGGAATCGAATCAAAGAAATTAGGGATTCGGTTTCAACCTTGATGATGGGCATTTGAGCGCCGAAAGTGAGAACGATGCCCATCTGGAGAATAACACGGAAAGTATCCCTAATGATGTTGGCATTATAATCGTTGAAGCTCTCCGCACAGTCCCCGCCTTGCAAGAGGAACGCCTTTCCGACGGCGGCGCTAGCGAGACCCTCCTCGAGCTTCCGTGCCTCCCCGGCGAACACAATTGGCGGGAACGAGCTGAGGGTCTGGAGAACCGAATCGAGCTCCTCGTTGTTGGGATACTCAGGGATCTGGACGGCCGGTTTGGATCTCCAGCTCTCGACGGACCATCCGGGCGCGACCACGCTGGAATTGGAGGAGGTGGAGACCGAGACGACGGTGGAGTTCTGGCGGAAACGGCGGCGGTAAATTGTAGGGGTGAGGCGAGAGGAGAAGAGGTTGGTAATGGGAGAGGCGGATGAAGGGGTGGTGGCGGCGACGGTCGGGTTGGTCGCGGTGGATACAGCCATGGCGGTGGCGGCGGGGGTGGGAGATATGTGGAAGAAGAAAGGCGGAGTGGCGGAGAAAGAAACACCGGAGCACAGAGTGAGAGTAGGGATGGCAATCAAACCCATAGCCGCGGGTACCCGACCGCCCCATACCCAGTCAACGCGGGGAATCCCCGCTTTGACCGGGTATGGGGCGGGTATGGGTAAAACCCGCAAAAGGTTTGATGGGTATGGGGCGGGTATGGTTTTAGCCTTCCCCGCCCCATACCCATACCCATACCCGCCCCACCAAGAGAATTTTTTCACATATCAAAAAATACGTGGATTAAATTGTAATATATCAATGATGATGATGATAACTCGAGAAAATAAATAGTAGAAATGCAATTGAGTAACCACCTTAATCAAAACCTAATTCATTTCCCTCAATTCTCCTTCCACTCTTTCACTTTCCCCCTTGTCAACAAAATTATGTTAGTTAATTATTACTTAGTAAATGTATCAAGAGTTAGAGCATAATAATTTAAAAAATATTATAGTCTATATTATGTATTAATGGATGTTTTAGGATCATATTCTTTGAATCGTATTTAGAAAATGACCGTGTTTTGTTGACTTCGTGATATAATAGGTTTGTTTATGGTTATAATTAAAACTTTTCTTGTAAGTTTTAGGTATAATAATGTTGGATGTACGGGGATGGGTATTACCCATGGGTACCCGAAACCCACGGGTATGGGGATGGGTTTGCAAAACATTACCCCGCATGGGTATGGGGCGGGTATGGGTTTGGGTATTTAAAGATGGGGATGGGGATGGTTTAGGCAAACCCGCCCCAAACCCGCCCCATTGCCATCCCTAAGTGAGAGCAGTCTACTCTAATCTAAAATCTAAATCTAAAAAATATAATGAGAGTTTTCCCAAATAAGGCTTTACGGATTCAAATTTCCATTCCTCTCGTACTTCCACATCAGCACATATTTTGAACGGGTAAATTGCAAAATTGGTCATGTTTGATCACTTAAAATATTTAATTTCATTAGTGATCACTGAGATTACTTAAAAAATCCAAATTTTGTCACTCTCTGTTAATTTCCGTTAGTTTCTATTAACGACGTCAATTTTCACTGACGTGGCTAACAGAAGTGTCTAGTCATCCAATTTTAAACCCGAAAAAACTCAAACCCCGACCCTCCACGTCATTAAACCCGCCACATAAGATACCCAAACCTAACCAACCCAACCCTTCATCTTCTTCCTAGTATGACCCGATTGACAAAGAGTCAAAAACCCTTATTCCCAAATTCCCATAAACCCTTCCGCCTCTTCATCCTTCTCCTTCGCCTCATCGGCCCTTGCCTTCTGGTTCTCCCTCTCTTCCAGCATCTTCATACTCACATCTCCAATCGGACTCCCACTCCTCCAGACCCTGCAACACATGAGAGACACAATTCGAGATGAGCCGGATGCCAACGTCAAACGACGCCGGCAACAAGTTCTCGTCTTCTGCAGTGAGTTTCCAGTGGCGGATTTAGGAATTTAATATAGGGGGGTGTCCTCTTTCAAAAAAATAATAATTATTAACAATTAAATAATTCTTAAATAAGAAAATGTCCAACTTGTAGAAGTTAAAAAAAGTCCATAATGTATTTTCATATTATGAAAAAATTGTAAAATACACTTGGTATCTACACTGCTCAATAAAGTTGTCTCGGTATATCCTACTAGATAACCATTCATGAACTGACGCATATTCCAATTTTAAATTTGTTCTTAATTTAACTTCAAACTGAAAAGACACTTTTAACACTTGTCGTACAACCATAAAAAATCATTACAAATTAAGGGTAGCTTGTAATTAGATTAATTGTTAGGTTTTGAAAATAATTAAAGATAGAGAATAAGGTTTTGCTATTATACACTGTTTAGAATAGAACAACAAAAAAGTTGTAGCCTAATGGAAATTATATTTATTAATAATAGTAGTGTCCCGAGTTTGAATTACTCAAACTACCACTTATATTCCCATACGCAAACTACAAACGAGAGTAGGATAATAGTTTTTTCAAATTTCAAGGTGTCCCGGACTATTATTATAATTTTTTTATCCATACGTAAATTACCACAAGGGTTGGATAATCGTTTTTTCAAATTTCAAGGTGTCCCGGACTATTATTATAATTTTTTTATCCATACGTAAATTACCACAAGGGTTGGATAATCGTTTTTCCAAAATTTAGGGATGTCCCGGGACACCGCCAAATGCCCCTGGGTCCTCCACTGTGAGTTGCCAATTGCGAGCATAGGCCGAAGTTGATGCCAAGAGGTGTTGCCCCCATGTGCGAGGATTGTTGGCTTTGGTTTCATGTAAGCAATTAGCTATAATGTTGAATCTGGAGGGACGGTCGGGACGGCAGATAACTGGCATCTTCCAACCATGTATACGCCGGTTGGAGACGGAACGACAGGAAGTAGAGAAAGCTTTTGCAAAGCGACAATGACCATGCGTCATCGCCAGAGTCGCTTGATCTCTCAATCTCTCCGCAGAGTCTCCGGATCTCACCTCCCCGATCTCTCAGCCGGATTCCGTTGAGTCACCGCCGAAGGAGCAGGGGGAGTCAAATCTGTCGTTGAAAACCTCTGCCAGCTTCGCGACGAGCCGGGCGAAGTTTGTATCCTTCGATTTTTCTCATAATAGAGGAGTGCAGAGGGAGGCGGAGGCTGAGGTAGTGGATGAGAAAGGATAAGATTGAGAGGAAGCAACGAGAGCCACAGGCAGATATAAATTTTGGGGAAATGACCTATGTATGCTTGCAATCTTATTTGGGGGGTAGGGATTTTTCCCCCGGTTGGGTCAACTAGAGGAAGAAGATGACAGTCGAGTCAAGGGTTGGTTTGTGTATTGTTATTTTATAAGGGTTGGGTTGGATTGAATTGGTTTGGGTATCATGTGTGGTTGGTTTAAATGATGTGGCAGTTTTTTTTTTGTTGTTGTTAAACTTAGCTAATTACGCACTTCTGTTAGCCACGTCAGCAAAAAACTGACGGCATTAACGGAGGTTGACGAAAGGTAACGGAGAGTGACTAAACTTGTATTGTTCGATTAATTCAGTGACCAATCTTGCAGTTTACTCTATTTTCAACCAATCAAAAACCTTTAAAAAACCACCGTGAGTTGGTTTGTAAAAATGGTGTTGTGTAAAAAAAATCACAAATGTAATTGCAAATGCAATCGCACAGATGGAGATGCTCTTATGTTTATTACCGTATTAGAAAAATTGTAACATTTCTATCAAAAATCAAATTGCTCCTGCACTATATAATATATATTTAATTGTATATAGGTTGTCATTGAGTTGATAATAATTTGTAGTGTATATTGCATAGTATAAAAATTGCTACCGTATATTATGTATTTCAATTGTATTATTATATATAATTTGTAGTGTATATTGCATAATATAAATAATTTGAGTACGTTGGGTAAGGGTCAGTCCAAATATTTAAACATTAGTTGCATGTTAGTCTAAATATCAAAAATTATTTTGAGTGTTTCACGCACCGAGATTTTATGAACCACCATTTGAAAATATTTTTATTTTTGTAAAACTTTATCCCTATTTGTGTCAAGATTGTATAAATGAACCATGATGATTATGATAACAAAAATTAAAATTTTATAACATAATCATGTGATATCATGTTATTTCTTAACCTTAAAAAAAAAAGAGTTGATATCTCTCAAGTAAGAGTTGAATGTTTTCTCTCATAAATTTACTTATATCGTTCCAATCCCTAGAAGACGAAATTAGCTTTGATTCAAACTCTCAAACCATACATTTGGGTCATAAACAAAAATAAAAAAGGTGTTTTGAAGAGTATGTACAAAAATAGTTTAAGTATGACAACAAATTAATTAATATTAATGTATTGCATTAATGAGAGTTCAAGAATATGAACAAAATTTATCATCTTCAAAATTAATTAAATATTTAAATGAAATTCACCCGACCAATTGCTAGGATCAAAGCTAGTAATAAATAAACTAGCTTTTAGCTGGCCCTTGGCCTGATGAATTTCATCTTATAATTAATCATTATTTTTTGCTTGAGGGATTCCACACATATGTCTAGAACTATTTTTTTCCTAGTGAATATGTGAATTTACATTTATTAATTTATTATTATAATTGATAATTCCTCAATTCAGCACTCAATATTTTCTAAATAATGTTTAGTTATGATGTAAACAATAGATATTTTACGTTAATTCATTCAAATTTTAATTTAGTAATATTAACTCTTTAGTGGATCTATTTTAAAATATTTTTAATATTTATTATTTCGCCTCTGACTGTTTACTCATCTAATCTTGACTCGTGCACTTGTTGGAGGTTTACAGAATTTACCTTTTCTTTTAAAGCGATGGTTTGTAAATTCTTAGAGTAGAATTTTATAATCTACCAGCCAAAAATTTCTACATAAGTATCTTATATAATAAAATATTCATCAACCAATGATCCTTAATATTTGAACTAACTTTCAATTAACAATTCAAGATCTTTAGACCAACTTACAACAAAGTTACTCAAATAATATAGTGGAATGTACACCATGAGATTCTGGTACATATGAACATCTTGTTGCTTTAACAGTGAATCATAAAAGAATTATCACTATACAATTTCATAGTCAAATTAAGTGGACATTTATGAAGCTTTCATACTGCCAAAATTGTTATGTCCATGCTCAATATTCACCATGTATAACCCCGACTCCGCCATTCTTTTCTTTTAAGTATGTGTAGGCATGAAAATAAGAATAATTAAGGATCAATAGAGATGTGAATCGAAATTGCTCATTCGACATAATTTGTGAAAGGGAATTATACACCTACCGGCGGGGGCTATTTTAGAGTGTTTTGCCCTAGTGTAAGTGTTGTATCTTTTTGCTCTTTGGAGTTTTAACAGAGTTGCCTGTGTAGTGACATCGGTAGTCTGGTTGCACACGGATATCACGTTTAGTTGCATTCAGTATAGTAATTGAGTCTTTGTACTATGCACTCTATGCTTGCCTTGTAAAAAAAAATGATCAATACATAAATAGTT